GGAAGCCCCGCCTGCGTAGCTGAACGACGGCGAGGAGGCGTTAACCTCATCGTTCTTGAGCCCAGAAGCTCTCGACAGGTCCCTGTTCCACTTCGGCATGTACCGACGAGACGGCTTATCAGCAGCATTTCTCTCTGAGGGGATCCACCTGTGGGCCAGCTTGAAATCCGAAGCCAGACTGATAGCCAAGACCTCCCGACAGATAGAGTTAAGCCTGAAATCTGTAGCCCGCCCTTTACATAGCGCACAGATAAGACTCAGACTGTCCCCCAAGAAGACGAGCCGACGAGAACGACACCGACTGGTTCGAGAGGCGCGGCGCACCCCATGGAGCGGAGCAAATCCTTCCAGCAAATGAATAGGCAGGCTAGCAGAAGCGGGCCCGGCTGCGACTGTGACCCAGGCGGCGTCTCTCAGAAATCCAGGGTCCACCTCGGTAAAGCCCGAAGCCGCACCAGCCGAGAGGATCGTGTCCCGATCTCGTGGGATCTTGAAGTCGTCGTCGACATCGTCAAGATCCGTGAGGTCGCCCCGAGGCCGACGATTGGTAGCCAACCACCCCTTCCATCTTGATCTGTCGTTCAGTCGTCCAATCTCCCCAGACTGCGATGCCGAGACCGACGTTTCGCAAACGCCATATCCCCAGGGACTTGCATCATAGGAAGTGATCAAAGGAGACCAAGGCCGTGACATGTCCGCGGTCACCAGCGGCAGCAACGCGCGGCACCACCGGAGCTCCTTGCGGACCGAAGGCCAGAGGGGCACCCGGCGCAGCTTGGCCTCCTGGGCGAAGGTGCGCGACGCGTACAGGAGCGAGAGCATTTCGCGTCGGAGCAGGAAGCAGCTGACCAAGTGCCCCAGCAGCCGCTCCATCTCCGCGCCGGCGAAGCCCTGGCTGGACGAAACCATGTAGTCCAGCGCCCCCTTGATCTTCCAAAACTTGCGAGCACTGAGGGCCCAAGTGGCGCGGCGCCCGACCAACGAGAAGCCAAGAAGGTCGTGCACCCCAAACGTCCCAGAGCTCGGGTCCATGTCAGATTTGACCCCAGCATCCGCTAACGACGTGATCATATCAGCAGTGGCCGCGTCAGGCCGAGCCCGCGTGGAACCGATGGGCGCAAAGTTGTCGATGTAGAGTATCTTAGCCAAGTGCGAAGCGCTGATCGGCTCCGTCGGCACCTTGTCCAGCACCCAGGAGTCGAGCGGCCTCACATCCTTCAGCAACGACATGTGCGCTTGCTGCGCGAGGTGCACGGCCCAGGCCCATCCCATGGGCACAACGCGAGATTGAAATTGAACGTGGCCGTTGGCGGCCTGCTGGCTGACCCGGCCACGCACATGCCGAGGCAGAAACCGAAGGTCAACAGACTTACGAGCGAAGAACGGGCGGAGGTTGGGCGGCAGCTCGTACTGGTAGAAGCAAACCTCCACATCCGCGCTAGGTGCCACTATCCTCTGCTCAGCGATCGACTCGTCAATCTCAAGAGCAGCCAGAGCCTCACCAGACGGCAAGGCGGTGAAGGGCGGCACCTCGAAGTGTGCGTTGGAGCGCCTCGTGCCCCAAATGAGACGTAGACGCCCATCCTTGCGGGGAGCGAAGAAGAGCCCGCAGACCTCCTGCGGCGACTCGCACACCTCGATAGCCCCAAGGTCATGCAGCTCCCCCAGGAAGCGCCCGTAGTCGGCGCCCCCCTTGCCCAAGTTGACGTCCATAGCCGGCACCCTGGGAGCATCTAAAAGAACTTTGTCGCGATCACGATCAGAGCGAAGGAGACCCTGACCACTTACCAAAACTGACTGCAGCTCAGGCCCAAGGCAGTTCAAGAGAGACACGCCTCCAGCCTTGCCCTGCGGTAGTGAGACTTCACCACGTCTGTAAGCAGCAACCCTGCCATCGGTCAGCGAGCCCGCATAACCGCACCTAGAACCCTGAAGCGCCCTGAACGCTCCGTGGGCACCAAAATCGGGAGGCGGGGGGCCCACGCGACCATAAGAACGAGCAAGGTGCCGAACCGCAAGCTGTTGCGGCAGGGAGAGGCGACGATGAGGATCCGCTGTCTCTCCACGACCACCGAGCTCATTCAGGGCATCGATGCCCTTACGCAGCCACCTCTCTTGTGCGCGCAGCTGTCGGAGCCGACGCGAACGAGGTTGGACAGGTCCAGCAACCTCTCCACGCAGTTCCTGACTGAGGGCAGCCCCCAGCGGCAGAGGCAGCACGTCACGCTGCACCTCCATGATCTCGATACTCGCCAAGCGCACCACCACCACAAGTGCGCCCCCCCTGTGGGAAAAGCCCAACCGCCCGGGGGCGACGGTGGGCAGCCGGATGAAGAGAGAGGCGAAGCGTCAGCTCCGCCCACGACCCAGCCCCCTCCCACGTCCTGGAGGCTGGGTCTGCTGCGGGGGCTGCTGGGCGCCAGATGCAGCAGCGCCAGAGCCCGAAGAAGTAGATGGGCGCGTCGGGTCCGTGCGAGCAAGCCCCCGCTCCTCGCGACCCTTGCGGCGCTCCTTGAGCACCGCGCTTTCCTCCTGCAGCTTCGTGGCAACGTGCTGCTCCAACTCCGGCGACACAATCGCGAGGCCCTTGCTCCGGTGGTTCCCCAGGAAGAGCCTCCTCTCGCCCAGGTCATCCCCGTGGTCGCCGGCCTCCGCGATCCGCAACGCCTCTGCGTAGAACTCCTCCCAGAGCTGGAAGCGCCTCGACACCGTCTCGAACGCCTCCAGTGCCGCCACGTTGAGGCCGCCCCTCGCCACAGCGGTCTCGATCAGCTCGCACAAGAAACTATGCTCCTCGACCCCAGGGTCCGTTGAAACTAGCCCCAGGACTTGACGCCACCAGAAGTGGCGCTGCTTGGGCGTGGTGTTGCCCTCTACGTGCGCGAGGCAAACCCAACGCACGGTCGGGGGCCCCTGCACCATCCACCTCTGGTTGTCACCCGTCTCGAGGAGCTGGGCGCGCTGGGCAAAACTCTGACGCGTGAAGGTCGCGTCCGAGCTCATTCCCAGCAGGCGGCTGTCCAGCGGCCCAGCACGTGGCGTGAGCCCTGTGACTGCGGTGTCCGAGATGCCCACAGCAATGGGCCCCTCCGTCAGCTCCAGCACGCCACGATCACCCGAGCGCAGATAGGGCTGGCCCACCACGTCGATCGGGTCGCCCGCGGCGTAGCCGAACCTTGACTCGAGCGCGATCCACTTGGTCGTGGGGTCGCGCTCCACGTCGGCGTCAGCCAAGGGGGCCCAGGGCCCCGCCTCAGGAAGAGGTGCAGGACCACCGCCTCCTGCGCTGACCAACTCATCAGCGAGCTTCAGCCCAGCCGCCATGAAGTCCGCGTAGTGCGTGTTGGAGCGGTGCTCCATCTTGAACAAGTGCTTGCCATACAACTTTACTGGAGTGCCGCCCTTGGGCCCACAGACCAAGATCTCGGCGGCGTCTACGAAGTCCTCCTCATGCTGGTCTTCAGTCGGTGTCAGGACCACCCATGACCACCCGTCCGCCCGTACGCGCCCGCAGAGAAGCCTCTCGTGCCAGAGGTCCTCGTCCGGGTACATCACGCACAGGCGAGCCCCCGGAATCAGCGATCGCAGCCAGCTCGGCGCCGGCGGGTGGTCTGACATCTGGGCGGCGGGCAGCAGCACGGAAGTACACGACCAGGCACAGGAGAACGCCGACCACCACGCCCACGGCGAAGCCCGCCGCAGCGCCGACCCAGGCCGAACCTGCGTCGCAGTGGCAGGTGGTCGGCGGCGGCGAGGTCAGCTGGTCGGGCCCGCACCGATCCAGCTGGCGCTGCAGGATCCCGATGATGTCGCGGTCCACGCTGCCTGAGTCCTCGCAAGAGCAGATGCAGCGATGCCCGCCGCTGCTCCACCAGCCGACAGCGTATCCCGCGACTTGCGCGAGGACGGGCGCGGCGGTTTGCATCTGAATCCGTTGCGCCGAAAAGCTACAAGAGAGGGGACGGAGACTGGCGTGATATCAATGTCGCACAGAGCTCACCAGCCTGTGGGACTTGTGGGACCTGTGGGACCTGTGGGGCAGGCGGGAGCTGTGGCACTGTGGTACCTGTAGGACCTGCGGGACCTGTGGGACCTGTGCGACCTGAAGGGCCTCTGTGGCCTGTGGGGCCTGTGAGACCTGCGATACCTGTGGGACTTGTGGGACCTGTGGGACGTGTAGGAGGTATAGGAATGCGAAACCTGCGATACCTATGGGACTGATGGGACTGGCGGGACCTGCCGGACCTGTGGGACCTGGGGGACCTGTGTGCGACCTGTGAAATCTGCGACGCTTGTGGGGCCCGTGGGACCTGCGGGACCTCTCGGACCTGTAAGACCTGTGGGACCTGCGACACTTGTAGGATCTGTGGAACCAGTCAGACCTGTACTACTTGTGGGACCTGTGGGACGACCTGCGACACTTGTGGGCCCTGTGGGTCCTGTGGGTCCTGTAGGTCTTGACGGACTTTTGGGGCCTGCGAGGCCTGCGAGACCTGCGGGACCAGGGATCCAGAAAAGTGGCCAACGCTGGGGGGCCAGGTAGCCATTCCGAACGACGGGAGTAAAGCGCCGATCCGGAAATGAGGCCCACGCTGCAGCGGGGGCTCCATTTTGAAACACCAGAAACAATCGGATTGTAAAAACCATAAGGGACATCAAATAATGCAATCCTGCGCGGTGAACCATTACGCGAAACACACACGGCGATCTTCTGGATAATTTCGGAAAAACAAGAGAGCAGTGTCCAGACTGAGTACGTACTTGTGAGATGGGGGAGAGGAAGAGGAGGAGGAGGAGGAGGAGGAGAAGGAGAAGGAGGAGCACGAAGAAAAGGATGAGAAGGAGGAGGAGGAGGAGGAGGAGGAGGAGGAGGAGGAGGAGGAGGAGGAGGAGGGGGGGCAGGAACACCCCCAGGGAGGAGCTGCCCACTCCCCACCGCCGCATGCGGCGCGCCTGGCTTTCCATGCCCCGTCCCAGACCCCCCCCTTCCCCCAGGTGGCCGTGGAGGCTCTTCAGGGACGCCGTGTGGTCCGAGTTGACCTCAACGTGGAACTTCTCAGCGTCACCCGCCTCCTCGGCCTGAGAGGGGAGGAGGAGGAGGAGGAGGAGGAGGAGGAGGAGGAGGAGGACAAAGAGAGGGAGGAGGAGGAGGAGGAGGAGGAGGAGGAGGAGGAGGAGGAGGAGAAGGAAGAGGAGGAGGACGAGGAGGAGGAGGAGGAGGAGGAGAAGGAGGAGAGGAGGAGGGGGGGAGGAAGAGGAAGAGGACGTGGAACTAGAATTGCGGGGGGTGTTGGTAACGAGGTTGACATGGCGACAATTCGAAATGCCAGCAAGCTCTTTCCTTTCTCAGATATGCGTTTGTATGCGCTGGCGCCCGGGAACATCCGATGTGACTCGGGATTGTGCGGGCGATCGAACAGTTCTGGCGAAGCGAAGGGAACGAAAGAAAGGGAAACCAGAAGTGTCCAAACCCCGCGCACATTCCAAACCCAGCAAGGATCCTCCGCCGCCACCTGGCCAGAAAGCGTCGGAGCGGGCGGATGGCGAGTTCACCGACTGTACTCGGGAGCTCGCCCGCGCTCTTGGGAACAGCACTGGGCCGAGCTCACACGAATGTGAATGGCATGAGCCTGCCAAGGAGGACTCCGAGCGGCGGACACGTGGTCCGAAAGCCCGAGGCAGGATGCGAGGCGAGGTATCGCTCGGAGTCGTTTCGAATAAGATGAGGAGTGCGGCATACTTGACCAGGTCGAGTGGGAGGTAGGGAGCAGGGAAGGGTGGATATGTTAAGGGCGTACGACGGGCTCGCACTGCCGCCTAGTTCGCCAGTGCGGGACCTCAATCGAGGTCACTGATCGGGCGCGCTTCCGTCGACTGCTTGCCTTCATGCTCCTCTACATGCTCATCGGCATCTGCCCGCTCCTCGGTTGCTGCCCGGTCCTCGGATGGCGAGCTTGGTGCGGAAGCACGGCCAGCGGCGCTCTCCCTGCAGCGCTTGGAATTCTCGCCACCTCTCCTCGTCTTCTTCTCGGGCTCGACCGTCGCGTCGTCGTCCTGGTTCTTGTTTTTGCCCTTGGACTGAGCTCGCGCGGCCGATGGGCCCAACAGGGTCCATAGGGCTCGTTCCGCGACGGAAAGTCGGCTTCCAGCGCTCATCCACCAGGCGACACGGAGGCGAGCGCGGTGGAGGAGGTGGCCGCGAGCCCCGGCGCGAAGCAGACCTCGAGCGCGGGTTCACTGCACCACTGCGTGTGGCGGGCGGGCGCTGGACGGCGCAGCGCCCGAGGTGTCTGGCCGATCGGGTTCCAGCACGGGGTCTGGGCCGTCCCCTGATCACCCACCGGCTCCAAAAGCGCCCCCAAATTTATTGTTTTGTGGGAGAACACCACCGCGCGAAACGGGGTGGGCTTGCCTTCGAACGATGGACAGCGCGGCGACGATGTCGCACCTGAGACCAAGCAGCGCGAGAGACGCGCTTCGTTCATGAAGGCCGAGCGCACGACGGGCACAAACACCTCCGTGGAGTACAAGCACAACCTCGCGTCCGAAATGTGCCACGTGTGGATGAAGGCCCCGACGCGTTCGTTGTTGGCTAGCTGCCTTGGTCCAAGACAACGTGGGATGATATGTAGACGTGCCTGACCTGACCAATACGCGCGTGGGAGTGCAACATCTTCCAAATAGGAGATGAGGCAGAATGTAATCCAGCGCGGGCCCCAAACAATGTGTTTCTACCAAACTATGATGTGCAATACGTGTTGCGAGATCGATGAGTTGACATCCATGGCGTGCAATAGATGTAGTGCAACTTACGTGGTGCACTAGATGTTGTGCAATCTATGTTTTCTGATGTATGCGGATAAATCGGTGTTGTGCGACACATCTCGAAATCCATGTTGTGAGCATCAAAAATCGCGCTCTGGGCGCGAAGACAAATCCTGCAATCTATGTGTTGCAATCTCTGCATTGAACAATCTACGTGGTTCAGTCTATGTGGTAAAATCTGCGGGGCGCAATCTATGTGGGTGGAAACACTTTGACCGTCTTGAAGCTGTCCTCTCCACTGCTCGTGCAAACATCCCACCCTCCCACCCGCAACTTCGTCGCAAGACCTCTGAAGACAAGACCGTGACGGTAGGTACTAGATGGCACTTGGCCACGACACCGACGCCGACGACGACAACGACAACGACGACGACAGCGCCGCCGACACCGACGACGAAGACACCGACGACGCCTCCAACGACTTCGACGACGACAGCGACCACGACGACGACGACACCAACAACAGCGACGACGCCGACGACGACGACGACGATGACAACGACGACGACGACGCCGACGACGACGACGAAGACAACGACGACGAGGACGACGACAACGACGACGACAACGACGAGGGAGGAGGGAGGACGGCGACGACGCGAACGACGAAGAAGGAGGAAGGTCGGCGACGCCGACGACGACAACGACGAGGAAGGAAGACGACGACGACGACAACGACGACGACGACGACAACGACGACGACGACGGCGACGAAATAGGAGGGACGACGACAAGACGCCGACGACGGACGACGACGACGACGAGGGACGACGCGCGCGTGTGCACTTCGTCCCTTTTTTTGCAAGGGATTCGTGCAAACATGTTATGTTGGAACAAAAAATGTCACCGCATAGTGCTCTTTCCCTGCCCAGGCTCTGCCTAGAAGGGTTCTTATTCGGTACACTTAAAGGCCGGGCAGTGGGCCACGCCCCGGGCGGTTCCCCCGGCATCCGCCCCGCGGTTCCCCCAGTGACGTTCCCTTAGCTTAGCGTTGCTTGTCTCATCTTAGCTTAGCCTAGCTTAACTTAGCGTAGCTTAGCTTAGCTTATCGCAGCATAGTTTAGCTTAGCTTAGCTTAGCCTAGTTTAGCTTAGACTAGCTTAGCTTAGCCTAATTTAGCTTAGTTTAGCACCGCTCAGCTTAGCGCAGCATTAGCATAGCAAAGCATATCATAGCATAACATGGCATAACGCAGCATAGCATAACGCAGCACAGCACAGCATAGCATAGCATAGCGCAGCATATAACATCATATCATGACATAGCTTAGCATAGTACAGCGCAGCATATCACAGCATATCATATCGCAGCATAGCATAACGCAGCATCGCATAGCATGGCATAGCATAGCGCAGCATAGCATATCATAGCATAACCTAGCAGAGCATAGCGCAGCAGTGCAGAACATGGCATAGCCTAGCAAAACATAGCGCAGCATAGCGTAGCATAGCATAGCACAACATAGCATATCGTATATGTTAATGTAGCTGTCGGTGTAGATGTAGATGTTGCTTCCTAGACGCTCCAACTCCTAGGTAGGGTCGCACTGGGATAGTTACAAAAGGGAACCTCAGGAGGATACCAGTTGGCCTGGGACATTGTGATTTCATGTTCAGAATGGACGTGTGGTCATAATCATATATGATTTACATTCCCGAAGGGGGGGCGATAACTCGGGGGGGGGTAGAGTCGATTGTATTTTTAAAAAAGAGAACCAACCTATGCGGCGCAAGTGACTTTAGCAAACGAGTTGACACATCCCACGGCACTGCAAACATCCCACCCACCCACCCGCAATTTGGTTTACGAAACCCATGCGGTGGCGATTGCGATGCATGCTTGGCGTTGGCTGGTGCATATCTGCGGCCGCGCCAACCCTAGCACGCGCGCGCAGCGGCCAGCTAGCTTGGCGCCACCGACGCGGCCGTGGTGGCGCCGACCGCATGGCACATCCCAGCGGGCACTTCAGTGCGAGTCGGTGACGTGGGCGGGCGCGGTATCATGGCAACGTCGACCACGGTAGACGCGATGATGATAACAGCGATGTTGGTGACGATGTTGACGACGACCACGGCGGGGCCAGTGCGGGCGCCGATGCTGGTCACTCCGGCGACGATGACGGCGCCCCCGCGTCGGCGATGAAGGTTTTGGAAGGAGTTCAACATGCGCGCGCGGCCGACGCGCGAGCGCGGCCCGCATGGTTTTGGCGCGGATCGCGCCCCCCCCCCCCCCCCCCCCCCCAGCCCGCGCGCAAGGGCGCGCGAATGACGTCGGGCATGCGGCGCCAGAGGCCCGTTTGGCAGAATCCCATGACGATGTTGAGAAACCGATGGTTTTGTTAAGGGTTCGCAAGAGCGCACGCTTTTTTGAAAACTGATGTTGCGCAACCACGCAACCATGTGTATTCATATGGTGTGTGGACACTCGGTTTTGAAATCGCTACGGAGCCGTAACTTTTTGAAGGGTTCCAGCATGTGCGCGCGACGACTCGCGCGCACTTCGTCTCATTTGTTGCAAAGGATTCTCGCGACGGCACGCGCGCCAGAGCGCTCGAATGATTTCGACGCGCGCGCGCAGCCCGATTGGTAGCAATGCATTGGAATTTTGAGAAAAAAAACCTACGGCATATATAGGAATTCGCAAGAGAGCGCGGGCATTTTTGTTGGAAAATCAGCGCTGCGAAACCTTGTGTGTTAACTGTGCTAGGGAGATTCGGTTTTGACATGCTTACGACGCCGCAGGTTTTTGAAAGTGTTCGGCATGCGCGCGCGACGGCGCGCGCGTGCACACTTCGTTTCATTTGTTGCATGAGATTTATGAAAGCTGATACGTTTGGATAAACGAGTGCGCGCGCGTATTTTTCTGCAGGGGGTGGGCGGGGGTCGGACCCGGCTGGGCTGCGGTGTTATGAATGCGTATTGAGGACGGGCGATGGGGCATAATCATACGTAAATTGCAGATCATTCTTTGACCCGAAAAATGCACCGAGAAAGCCAGGGGGATCCGAATTGCTTCTTTGAAAGGAGAACTGACTGCCCTGCACCGCGCTTGACCACCTCCCACGCTCTTGCAAACGTCCCACGCGCCCGCCCGCAACTTGGTTTGCAAAACCCATGCGGCGGCGAGTGCGATGAGTGCTTGGCATTGGCTGGTGCATCTCCGCGGCCGCGCTAGCCCGCGCACGCTCGCGCGCGCAGCGGCCAACTTGTTTGGCGCGACCGAGCCGCGGCGGCGCTGGCCGCTTGGCGCTTCCC